TACATAATCCTCCCAACAACTCATTTACTCTTTCCAACCATCCTTTGAGGTTCTATTGTTAGCCCTGTTTTAGACACAAGAAAACCTAAGCTTATCTTGGAAAAGTAAGTAAGTTGCTCAAGTCACATGGCTAGTGTGAGATTCATACATGGCACTCTGGCCTCAGTGAAAGTTCTTCACCCTTTCAAGATGTCATCTCCAAAGAATATGTAAGCCATGCTATTTCTCAAGGACACACATATACAAAGATGGAAAGGTCATGTGGAGACAGGCTTTTATTATAATGGTAGGAATTGCAGGTACTTCCATTGAGCAGGTGATGAGCTTTTAAATGATCCTCGCACCTTTTTTCTGAGTCCACAAGTCACTGCATTACATACTGGATCAGTCTTATCCTGGATACAATGAAGGATCTCTCCCAACATTGATGTGTTTGTCTCTGACATGAAATTTATTACTAATTTTACTTTTCAAAGTCTGCTTTTTTGAGTAGTGCCTAAGGCATCTGACTGCTAACCAGAAGGCTGGCAGTTCAAACCCACCAGCCACTCCTCGGAAGGAAGATTGGGCAATCTACTTCCATAGTGATATCACCTCAGAAGCCCAAGGAGGGGTTGCTATGAGTCAGGTCCGACTCAACAGCAGTGTGTGTATGTGTGTGTGTGTGATTTTTTTGATCATGGATTTCACTTCCCCAAAGTCAACCTGATTAGCTGGCTCTAAATGAGTTTCCTATAGGAATATATCCCATCTAAGAGAAATATTTTGTTAAATAATGAGAGGTATACCAGTTCAGCATAACATCAAGATCACATGTCTGTTAAGCATTTATTTTTTAGATTTAAGAGTCAATTTCTTCATTGCTGAGAGGTAAATAGTCCCCTTTGCTTCAAACTATGCTTCCATCCTGGGATCTCTTCCTACCAACTAACAACAAATAATTTTTAAATCGTCCTTGGAGGACCAGGGATGACAGCCCTGCCCTTCATCCAGTCCTGAATAACCCATCTTGTAAAGAGAATAAAATGTAAATGGTGAAGGATTAAACTACACCCTCTCTATGAGAAAATGTAAGGAATAAAATAGTGCCTTGCAGAACTAAGCTATATTATTCTCCCATCTAAATGTCAATGACAAGAACACCTGTCAATGATAAGATTACACAGTTGCAACTCATATTCCTTCACCTTTTTATGATACAGCCAAATACACAGAAGTCTGTTTTTCCTAAAAGAATAGCATTGGATTGTTGTAAATTAATAGCTGATATATTAAGGTTTAGGCTGAGGTCTTGTGAAATATTGCCTGAGTAAATCCCAAATTAATAATTAATCTGATAACAGGGGCAAAAAGCACAATCTATCTGTAGTAGAGTGGGAGACATAATCCTTTAATATGTTATGCCTTATAAAGAATAGTAAGAATTATTGACAGAGAGCTGTATTATGTTCACTATACATATTTCATGCAGGTGAAATGATGAAAGAAAAAGGGAAATATGCTAAAATAACAGAATTCTTTTTTTTTTTTTTTCTCACCCACTGCTGAAAGCAGGCAAATGTTCATGTCTCAAAGGTACGAGCAAGGAATGCTCTATAGAAAATAAACTTTGAATGCAAAGCAAAACCCAATTCTAATAACAGCTTCATTTTTCACCAAAAGCAAAGAGGAAATGACCCGATTTGATAGGTCTCTCTCCATCAGAAAGTGCTGAGACTGCAGCTGAGACAACTGCCAACAAGGAAACTGTCATTTTACTCCCATGATTAGCGTTGATGCAGAGAATGGATTGGTATGGATTGCCCTGCTCTGAAAGGTCACTAGACAAACTGCACAAGTCATCTCTTGTTCTCCAGGTTGACAACTAGGTTGCCATTTTGAGTAGTCTTTAAAAAGATCAGAAATCTTTTTTCCTCCCAACATTTTCATGAGGATTTTCGTCTCTTCTTTTGGTGCTGGGAGCAGTAGTCTTGCCTACGTCTTTGGAAGCATCATGGTCTAATTTAGTGTATGATTCACTGGGTGCCAGCTAACTTTGAGAGTACAGTTTATAACTGATGGTAGAACTGAAGTTCTAGTGTATGAAAATAGCTTCTCAGAGCAGGGAAAAGCACAGGTTCCATCAATAACTAGACACTTTCTCAAACACATACAAAAATATACCAATGTTTTCTACTGAGAAAAAATCCACCACGCAGGATATTTTAAAATATGTTTTTATAATGGTTTGTATCACAAAGCAATCAAGTAGGTATCTCACCTTTGCTTTAATAGTGCAAACATGTATCCTCAGCAGGACCTATCATTCAAGTACCTATTTGTGCTTTTCTGTAAGACATGGTACTGTGGATATAAACTCCCACTAGGAATGTATAATTCTAAGGAAAAGAGGACAATGACAGAGACAAATAAATGGAGCATACTATAGAAGCCAAGGAGCTCTGGTGGCGTAGTGCCTAAAGCATTTGACTGCTAATTAGGTTGGCAGTTCAAACCCACCAGCCACTCCATGGAAGGAAGACTGAGGAATCCACTTCCATAAAGATTTACTGCCTCAGAAACCCAAAGGGGTCTCTATGAGTCAGAATCAACTTGATGGTAGTGAGTTGTTTTTTTTAATTATTATTATTATAAGCAAAGAGGTTAGAAATGGGTAGACTTGTCTTCATAAAAAAAGTTCTCAAGAGAAAACAGAGTCAACATTTTAGTATAAGTTTAAAGTGTTAGCCTCTTAGGTCTTATCTAAGAACAACACATGCAGGAAAATCAGCTATAGCTGAAAATAGCATTAGATTTTATTTTGGCTTTGATACATGGTCTGTGGTTTGAGTCCAAAATAAAATATTTTTTTCCAATGTGGTACACAACTAATTCTTACTAAGGAAATTTGGTATTTCCAGTGCAGCAACAGCAAACATGTGGAGTGGATTGAATTTTGTTGGGAAATGAGAACTCAAACAAGAGCCTGTGGAATCAGCTAAAAGATTGATTTTAATTCAGCTTTCTCCTCCACTCTTAATAATCATGAAAATATGATCAATTTCTTAATTAATGAAGAAATAACTTAACAAATGTATATTAATAACTCAAAAAGCAAAATGACACACACACAGACCAGCAAGACATGCCTTTCCTGCTAAAACTCTGCTTTTATTTCTTGGGGAAACCACAATTATAATTTTTTTTTTAAATAAAGCATAGCATCAAATGTCAGCTTCATTAGAGTGGTGACCTGTAAAAATGTGGCCTACCACTTCTAACTTGTTGGGCACATGATGATTGAATCCTTATCCTCATTACATTCCAATCAAAATGAGAGTGAGGAAAGAACACTTTGTTGCTGTGAATCACTTTTTTCCCTGCAAAGATGACTCATATCCTGATATTTGGACTTCTTTTGTGTGACACACATAAAGGTTTTAGTGTTTGAACAAGCCATGAAACTAACATATAGCATGGATTATCACAGCATCAAATACCAGATCCAAGTCCATCCTACAGGAAGTGTGAAATGCTCCCTTTCATTTCCATGTGCAGGAGGCAGCCAGCCAACAATGCCCTCAGGAGAGCCACCTGTGCCCAAGACTTGGCTTATTTACATTCTTTTTGCAATTGCCCTTCTCCCATCCCACCTGAAGATGCCAGCTACTTTAAAATCCCCATGATCCTGGTCAGCAGGGAAAATCAACCTAGAGGTGAGAAGAGAAGAGCACCAAAGAACTCAGGGAGGACTTTTATTCTTTTCAAACATACTTCAAAGAATTACTTTCAAGCCCAGGTTTCAAGTTCAGAAGTACTAGGTAAAAGAGGTGTAGCTGGGTTCTTGGGTATCCATCTATACCCAAGATAATCTGGATTCTTCCATTCTTTTTTTTTTTTTTTTCAAACAAATCAATTACTCTCATTGAATTGACTCAAATTAGTTTTCTATTCAACCATTTATACACATTTTGTTTCATAACACTAGTTGCAATTCCCTCAGTGTAACATCACTCTGTCCACTTCCTCCCTGGGTTACCTGTTTCCATTCATATTGTTTTCCTGCCTTCTAAGCTTTGTTTTAAGGCAGTTGATTACTCTAAGTAGTACATTCCTTACCAGTGTTACTATTGTCTTTCATAGGCCTGTCTTTTGTTCAGCAGCAAGGTGGTCCCTGGGGTTGGTTCTAGGCTTGAAGAATATCTAAGGGCCACAGTTTCAGAGGTCCCACCAGTCTCTATCAGACCACTAAGGCTGGTTTTTTTTATGATTTTGAATTTTGTTCTACATTTTTTCCCCACTCTGTCCAGAACCTTCGGTGGTCCCAATCACAGCAGAGCAGTTGGTAGTGGTATCTAGGCACCATCTAATTCTTCTGGTCTCAGAATACTGGAGGTTGTGGTTCGTGTGGTCCATTAGTCCTTTGGGCTAGTTGTTGCCTTGAGTCTTTGATTTTCTTCACTCTTCTTTACTCCAGATGTGAAGAGACTACTAGTTGCATCTTAGATGGCTGCTTGTTAACTTTTAAGACCCTAATCACTACTCACCACAGTAAGGTATAGAACATTGTATTCGTTCACTATGTTTGACTTAGCTATCCCCCAGAACTGTGCACTTGATCCCCATAAGGTGACTGACTCATCCCCATAAGGTGTTTGGTTATGGGTAAGAATATGTGCTGTTAATATATCATGCATATAGTAGAGCAAACAGATGCCAAAGACATGAAAACTTCTTATCCATAGAGTTTCAATGGATGGTTTTTCAGAAGTAGACCACGAGGTCTTTCTTCTGAGGCACCTCTGGGTAGACTCAAACTGCCAACCTTTTGGTCAGCAGCTAAGAGTGTTAACTGTTTGCCACCCAGGGACTCTTTTATTCTTTCAATTAAAGGCAGATAGATAGATAGATAGATATAGATATAGACAGACAGACAGACATATTTTATTGTGGTGCCCCTCTATCCTGTCAGGACGTCAGGGTACCAAAAGAAAAAAGAGGAAAAACAGCTTCCTACTTACTCGTTTTCGGTCACAATGTAGCCATATTCCTCCTCATCAGAAGATTTGACTTCTAATTGCAGGCCCATACCTGGGCGCTGTTGAGATTCTACTTGAAGGCTTTCATCTTGCTTCAAAGCTCCTGGATTCCAGTTTTGATAATCCCCAAGCCTATCCACGCTGGGCTCAGAATTTGGCTTCTTATCAAATAGCTCTTTGAAGTAAGTCTGACTTTTGACATTTTCAATCCCGACATTCTCTTCTTCTGATGACTCGGGGTCCTCCGATTTCTTGATATCTGTTTTAAGGGACTTTGCAAGAGAGAAAGCTTCAGGCAACTTTTGGGGCTTGTGCTCCTTCAAGAGGTCCCCAAGTTTGACATTTAAGCGTTTGACCTATCAGAAAGAAAACTTCATGTAAGATAATGACTACAAGAATGGACTAATGACATGCATAAACTGAAGCAATAATTGTGATAAAATTCATCCATATGGACAATAATGTTGTTGTTGTTATGTACCATCGAGTCAGCCCCAACTCATAGCGACCCCTCCTTGGGTTTCTGAGGCAGTATCACTACGGAAGTAGATTGCCCAACCTTTCTTCGGAGGAGTGGCTGGTGGGTTTGAACCACCAGCCTTCTGGTTAGCAGTCAAGTGCCTTAGGCACTATGCTATCAGAGCTCCTATGGACAATAATAGGCAATCTAAAATAAAACTGTTAATGAAAGCAAAGCTTATACCATGACTACATAGAATCATATATGTTGTTGTTAGGTGCTGTCAAGTCAGCTCTGACTCATCGTGACCCTATGTACAATAGAATGAAGACTGCCCAGTCCTGTGCCAGCCTCACGATCCTTGTCTGGTACATCCTATACCTGAACCTATCGTTGCAGCCACTGTACCAATCTGTGTCGTTGAGGACCTTTCTCTTTCTCACTGACCCTTCACCTTACCAAGCATCATATCCTTCTCCAGAGAATGGGCTCTTCAGACACCACCAATAGGTGAGACAAAGCCTGGCCATTCTCACTTCCAAGGAGCATTCCTGCTGTACTTCTTCTAGGACAGATTTGTTAGTTCTTCTGGCAGTCCATGGTACTTGCAGTATTCTTTGCCAACACCACAACTCAAAAGCATCAACTCTTCTTTCACTCACTCACTCTCACTGCCGTTTCACTCACTCAACTCACAGCGACCCCTCCTTGGGTTTCTGAGGCAGTGTCACTACAGAAGCAGATTGCCCAATCTTCCTTTTGAGGAGTGGCTGGTGGATTTGAAGTGCCAGTCTTCTGATTAGCAGTGGAATGCCTTAGGCACTATGCCACCAGAGCGCCAACTCTTCTTTGGTCTTCCTTATTCACTGTCCAGCTTTCACATGCATATGAGGCTATTGAAAATACCATGGCTTGGGTTAGGCACACCTTAAGCTTCAAAGAGACATCCTCACTCTTCAGCACTTTAAAAAGGTCTTTTGCAGTAGATTTGCCCAGTACAATATGTCATCTGATTTCTTGACTGCTATTTCCACTGATGTTAATTGTGGAACCAAATAATATGAAATCTTTGAGAACTTCAGTCTTTTCTCCATTTATCATCATGCTGCTTATTGGTCCAGTTGTGAGGATTTTTGTTTTCTCTCTGTTGAGGTGTAATCCATACTGCAGACTTTAGTCCTTAATCTTCATTAGCGAGTGCTTCAAGTCATCATCACTTTCAGCAAACAAGGTTGTGTTGTCTGAATATTGCAAGTAGTGCAGGGAGCTCTAGTGGTGTAGTGCCTAAGGCATTTGACTGCTAACCAGAAGGCTGGTGGTCAAACCCACCAGCCATTCCTCGGAGGGAAGGTTGGGCAGTCTACTCCTATAGTGATACTGCCTCAGAAACCCAAGGAGGGGTTGTTATAAGTCGGATCCGACTTGACGGCAATAAGGTTTTTTTTTTTTTTTTTTTTGGTAATGAGTCTTCTTCCAATCCCAGTGCTGCATTCATCATATAGTTCATCTTCTTGGATTATTTGCTCAGCATACAGGCAGAATAAGTATGATGAAAGATTAGAACTCTGATGCATTTTTTTTTTCTAATTTTAAACCATGCATTATCCCCTTATTCTGTTTGAATGACAGCCTTCTGGTCTATGTACAGGTTTCTCATGAGCACAATTAAGTGTTCTGGAATCCCCATTCTTATCAATGTTATCCATAATTTGTTATGATCAACACAGTCTAATGCTTTTGTTTAGTCAAGAAAACACAAGTAAACATCTTTCTGGTATTCTTTGCTTTCAGCCAAGATCTATCTGACATCAGCTATGACATTCTTTGTTCCACATCCTCTTCTGAATCCAGCTTGCATTTCTGGAAGTTCCCTGTCAATATACTGCTGTAACTGTTTTTGAATCATCCTCAGCAAGATTTTACTTGCATATGATATTAATTATATTGTTCAATAATTTGCACATTCTGTGGGATCACCTTTCTTTGGAATGGGTAAAAGTATGGATGTTTTCCAGTCAGTTAGCCAGGGAGCTGTCTTCCAAATTTCTTGGCATACATGAGTAAGTGCTTCCAGTGTGGCATCACTTGTTGAAACATCTCAATCATATATCGATGAGAAGTATTCACCAAAATGGAAGATGCAGGCATTATGTATCAGTATCACTTAAATAGTTCATTTTCTCTCCCCTGCTCTATTTCCCTGTGTCTCTGTTTCTCTCCGCCACACACACATCTTTCTAAAGAATCTCATTTTGTAGTCAGCGTAGGTCCACTGGCATCTGTATTTTGAAAAACTGATTCCAAGACTGTATCCTTCTGTAAACAATGATAACCTAACAACAATAATAACAGTAATAATTAAGTCTTCTAATGAACAAAGGCAGTGTACTAAATATTTTACATATATTAGCTCATTGAATTATCAAAATAACCCTATGAATTAGGAACTGTCATCCTCCCATTTTACAGAAAACACAAAGAACACTAACCCACTTGTGAGTACATCACAGAGATGCATAAATATTGTCTTACAATATATAGGGGATATTTGGTCAAGTCCTGCAATGCTCATACCCTCATCCTGAAACCTGTTTCCTGGAAAAGAGGCTCCTCAGAACCACATAATCAATCTTTTTAAATAACTTAAATTTTAAAATAACATGAATTCTTCTCTCTTAACATAAAATCTTCTCTTATTTATTTATTTTAAGTTTCTATTTACTTTATTTCTTCTCCAATGTTTGTTATTTCCTCCTTCTGGTAGCTTTAGTGTTATTTTGCTCTTCTTTTTCTAGTTTCTCAAGTTGAAAATTTAGGTTTTTGATTTGAGAGATTTCTTCTTTTATAATGTAGGTGTTTACCACAATTGTTTCCCCAAGCACTGCATTCACTGCATTCCATAAGTTTCAGTATGTTGTCCTTTAATTTTCATTTAACTCTATGTATATTTATGGTTTCTCTCTTAAATTTCTTCTTGACTCATTGGTTGTTTAACAGTGTGCTGTTTAGATTCCACATGTTTATGAATCTTCCAATTTTCCTTTCACAATTATTTCTTGTTTCATTCCTCTGTGGCCAGAGAAGATGCTTAGTAAGATTTAAATCTTTCCAAGACAGTTGTTACTGAGAGTTGTTTTGTGACCTAGAATATGGTCTAACCTAGACATGATCCATGTCCACTAAAGAATGTGTATTTTGGGTGGAGTATTCTATATGTGTCTATTAGGCCTAGATGGTTTATATTGTTGTTCAAATGTTCTATTTCCTTTTTTATCTTCTAGAAGTTACTTCCTTAGTGATACTGCCTTAGAAACCCAAGGAGGGGTAGCTATGAGTCGGGTCCAACTCTATGGTACATAACAACAACAGAAGTTCTATCCATTATTCAAAGTTATCATTGAATAGCTTGATATTGATGTATCCTACTATCATTGTAGAAATTTCCATTAAAAAAAAAACTCACTGCCGTTGAGTCGATTCTGACTCATAGCGACCCCTCCTTGGGTTTCTGAGGCGGTATCTCTGCAAAAGTAGATTGCCCAGTCTTCCTTCCAAGGAGTGGCTGGTGGATTTGATCCACCAGCCTTCTGGTTAGCAGTCAAATGCCTTAGGCATTATGCCACCAGAGCTTCTAGAAATGTCCATTACTCCCTTCAATTCTGTCAATGTTTGTTTGCTTCATATTATTTTGGGCTCTGATGTTAGGTGTATATATATCCATAATTATTATATCTTCCTGATTAATTGAAAGTTTTATCACTGTATAATGTCCTTCTTTGTCTTTTATGATAGATTTTGACTTAAAGTCTATTTTATCTGATATCAATATACCATACCAGCTCTCTTTTTGCTTGGACTTTCACTTTCCATTCACTCTCAACTATTTATATCCTTGGGTCTAAGATATACCTCTTGAAGACAGCATACAAATGGATCATGCACTTGTTTTGTTCTGTTTTTTATCCATTCTTCCACTCTCTTTTGATTAGGGAGTTTAATCCATTTATATTTAGGGTAATTACATATAAGAAAAAAATTACTTCTGCCATTTTCCTACTTATTTTTTTGTGTATCTTATGCTTTCTCTTCCCTCATCTCCTCCAATACTACCATCATTTGTGTTTTGTTGAGTTTTTTCAGTGAACCATTTTGATTCCTTTCTCCTTTCCTTTTGTGTATATTTCTTAGATATTTTTCTTAGTGATTACCTTGGTTATATTTAACTTCATAACATTATAATAACCGACTTTAAATTGATACCAACTTAACTGCAATAACATACACAAGTTCTATTCCTATACCATTCCTCCCCACATCTCCACTTCATATAACTATTATCATAAATTATACCTTCATACATTATGTGCCCAGTAGCATGACTTTATATTTTATGTGTTCTTCTTTTGAAATCATGAAAGACATAACTAATAGTCACTAACCAAAAATACTATAAAACTGGCACCTATTTTTGCGCATGATATTATCTTTATCAAGGAGCTCTGGTGGCACAATGGTTAAAGCTTTTAGCTGCTAAGCTAAAGGTTGGCAGTTTGAACCCACAAGCCACTCCATGGGAGAAAGATAAAGCAGTGTGCTTCCATAAAGATTTACAGCCTTTGAAACCCAATGAGGCACTTATACTCTGTCCTAAGAGATTGCCAGGAGTCAGAATTGACTCAATGGAAGTGAGTTTGGTATTTTTGGTTTTATTACCTTTATCAGAATCTTTCTTTTCTGCATTTGTCTTTGAGTTACTGTGCAGTGTCCTTTCACTACTATCTCAAAAACTCACTGTAACATTTCTTCTAGTGCAAGTGTCACAAAGTCCCTCATCTTTTATTTATCTGGGGATATCTTAATTTCTTCCTCATTCTTGAGAGATAGTTTTTCCAGATATAGAATATTTGTTAGACAGTCCTTTTCTTTCAGTACTTTAAGTATGTCATTCCTCTGCCTTCTGGTGTATAAGGATTCTGAGAATAAATTTGAATTTAACCTTATTGAGGATCCCTTGTATGTGACATTTCCCTTCTCTACTGTTTCTTTCAGGATTCCCTTTATTTTTAGCTTTTGAGAGTTTAACTGGAATGTGGTTTGGAATATATTGAGTTTTTTTCTACTGGGAGTTCATTGAGCATCTTGTATTTGTAGATTCATATCCTTCATTGAATACAGCAAGTTTTCTGCCATTATTTCTTCAACTATATTTTTTATTCTTTATCTCTCTCTTCCCCTTGTGGGAATTCCGTTATGTATATGTGAGTTTGCTTTGTGGTGTCCCACAATTACAATAGGTTCTGCTCAGTGTTCTTAATCCTTTTTTTAATTTTGGTCTTCAGACTCAATAATTTTGATTATCATTCCTCTAATCTACTGATTCTTCAGCCAGCTCAAATCAGCTGTTCAACTTCGCCAGAGAATTTATTTCAGTTACTGTATTTTTCAGTTATGGTATTTCTCTTTGATTCGTATTTATAGTGTCTATCTCTTTATTAGGAGTCCTGGTAGCACAATCATTAAACACTTGGCTGCTACCAAAAAGTTGGCAGTCTGAACATATTCAGTGGCTCCAAAAGAGAAAGACCTGGTGATCTGCTTCCAAAATATAACAGCCAAGAAAACCCTGTAAGGCAATTCCACTCTGTCACATATGGTCACTACAAGTCAAAACAGATTTGATAACACCTAACAATAACCTCAGAAGGAAGGTTGGGCAATCCTACTTCCGTAGTGATACTGCCTTGGAAACCCAAGGAGGGGTCGCTATGAGTCGGGGCCGACTCGATGGCACATAACAACAACAACAACAACAATAACATCTCTTTATTAATATTCTCATCTTGTTCAGTCTAGTTTTCCTGATTGCCTTTAGTTCTTTGTCCTAATTTTCCTTCAGTTCTTTGAGTATATTTAGTACTTTTTTTTCCAAGAAAAGTCTTCTAATCTGCTCAATATCTAGGCTTCTATAGCTATAGTTTCTCTCCTCACATCTTGTTCTATTTGCAATTTCTTTGTATGCTTTGTAACTTTTTGTTGAAACTAAGACATTAAAATATTACAGTGTATTAGCTCTGAGTATATGGATGGTGTTCTCAATCCACCCACATACAGAGTGGTTTCAAAAGTGATCATTTCTGCAAGACATTCTCAGGTGGGCACAGTCTGCTCACTGCTCCCTCTCCTACTCTGTGAAAGCTCTGATTCAAGTCAAACCTAGGGTTCAGGTCTCCAGATAGATTAGAACAGACACACCAGATCAGAACAGTCTGACATCAAAATCTGCTCTGATCCCTCCAGAGAAAGAGTTCATGACTTCTTTGTGAACATGAAAGCCATGGTCTACCTCCACTCTAGCTACCTGCTGCTGTGCTGGAAGGGGTAAATGTAGAAACAATAGAAAGGTAAGTTTTCTTTCTACTGTTTAAAATATCTTTTTCTTGTTTCAGTTTGTGGTTAGTTGTTGCAATCCTCCATCCACTTTTTCAGAGTTCCTCTAGCATTCAGATGACAGATTTATAGTTGCTTTTCTCATGTTGCCATATTCTCAGAAGTCCATCCCACCCATTTTGATGGACATTTAAACCAATAATCGCTCATGTTTTCTTCTAATACTTTCTAACAGGCACTGAACCATAAATCCACTAAGCTAATGTGACTAAAGAATTACTAACCAAAAAATATTTTTTCCACTTCACAAAAAGAATTTCATAAAAACACAAATTACTGCCATTGCTTGTTGTGAACTGATTTACTACATCTTTAAGACTTGTATTAATGACCTAGGGTTTTTAAATAGGAAAACTAATAAATTGCTCAGTGAGTGGATACTATCTGTAACTAAGTACTTTTTCAAATTGTTTTCCAAAACCAAATGGCAATAATGGAATTGTTCTATAATCTGTGCTGTCCAACATGTTAGTCACTGGCCACATGTGACTAATGAGCATTTGAAATGTGGTCAGCACAACGGAGCGACTGAAATTTTAATATAATTAAAATTTAGATTTCAATAGCCACATGTTATGCCAGAGACTACCATATTGGGAAGAGCAGGTCTAAGTTACGCAGAACCTGCAAATGTCCCTGTACTAAATAAATCTTAGAGATCAGTTTATACAGGGTGATAAAAGTATATAAAATGGACACATAATGTTATAATTGGATATCTCTGCTTTTGGAAATTCCAAGAATTACTAGTATTCTTTGTAAACAATCATACTTTCCAAATTTCTACAATGTATAAATATTAGTTGTATCATCTAAAAACAGATACTATTATATATAGAAACATACACAATTTATGTACACCTCATACTTTTTCTCTATTTGGAAACTATGAGGGTTTTTCAATCTTTTTTCAGAAAAGAAAAATAAAAACTTTGTATTTCATAAGAAAGTCCCCAAACCATTAAAAAGATAAATTTTACCTAGAGAACTAAACATTTAGAGACATCCCATCTTACCTCCTCATAAATTTTATCATCATCTTCTTGTACTCCATTATCTGTAAAAGACATAAGCATGATCAAAATCTTTGTCAAGAATGTCATCACAAGGTATCATAGCATGTAAAAAGATAACCACATAGAATCCTTCTTTACAGGAGATTGAGCATAATGATGTTGGTCTAATTTATACTCTAAAGTAAATCTATTCTGTTTATAGTACAAATAATAGTGTTCCATAAAGTTCATGAAATAGGAGGGGGGTTTACAATGTAAACAAGAGACATGAAGTCAGTCAAAAATTACATTACTCAGTTTCATGGCTTAATGTATTATATGTAGTGTTAGTTCACAGCAAGAAAAATCCATTGTATCTAGTTGCAGTTAATATTTACAAGAAAATAAACTGAAGCATGGAGCCCAAACCACTTAACAATTAAGATGGTTTCAGATTTCATTGACTTAGGTATTTTACTGTGGTGATCATTTATTTCTAAGTAAATATCATACATACAATGCCCAACAGTACATAACTCATTGTACACTCCACAAGCTGGGACAATAGCTCCTTGGGGATAGAAGCCACGTCCCAGAGACCTTTTATATTCCTCCTAGTCCACAGGTTAGGCATTTGACTGGTTAACATAAAATACTGTTACATGGAGTTTCAGTTTCTTTTCTGACATTTTATTCATCTGTTGAATAATGCTTCTACCTCCAACAAGTCTTCATCCCAACCCACCAAGAAAATGGGGACAAATCTTTCCTTTGCATTTTTGGCACATAATTTTGCATGCCTACCATGTGCAAATCCACCAGCCACTCCTCGGAAGGAAGATGGGGCAATCTACTTCAGTAGTAATACTGCCTCGGAACCCAAGGAGGGGTCGCTATGAGTTGGGTCCGGCACATAATAACAACAACAACACTAAGTGCAAGTACTTTGTTAGATGCTTTAATGTAGCTCCAAAGAATCTGAAAAGTAATTAGGCCATAAGGAAGGTCAATCTTCAGAGAAGAATCACACCTACCCTGCACAGGCAGCTGCCTCTGAGATGTGATCTCTGCTTCCCTCCAGAAGCAGCCTCAGAGGGTGCATGTGGGCTTCAAGCAGACATTTAATGAACCCTTTTCACTTTATTATTCAAATATTTGACAATATTCACTCTCCCTATACAAACAAAAACACTTTCTCTCACTCCTAATTTTTTTTTCTTTTTTCTCTATCTGAACCTCAGCAGAGAGGAATTACACCTCCTGACAGAGAGCAATTTGCCTTTCAACATAATTGCTCTGGTAGGCTTAGCCTGTTAAGAAAGCTTTTAGAGGCAAAGTTCAAACAGATAAAAATCATTAATACAAATCCCCATCTCCCCAGCAGAAAGAATGCATTAAGGCTTTGGTAAGCGTGCAGATCTTTCAACAGCTCAAAGGCCTCATCCCTTCTCCCAAAACATCTACTACAAATGTAAATGACCCAAGAAGCTGGAAGTTTCACCTTGTAAATCACCTGGACCCTTCTTGTCATTTTCATAAAATGCTGCCTTGGAGCTGTCTGCCTGTTCTCCTGGTTTTCCTTCAGCTTCTCTTCCAGTGCTCTCCTGATTCTCTTTGGTATCTCCACCTTGCATGGCATTAGCAATCACTTTGGCCATCTCATCAAGCTCCAGGAGACCCAGATTGTCCACATTAACCTGGTGCTTTCTCAGGTCCTTCAGGAGATTCTGAATAAGTGCTTCTAAAGTACACACACAAAAATGAACACAAATAAATCATGCATTGAAATATCCAAAAGAAGTGATGGTAGGCCTAATTGCCAGGAAATATATCAAGTGCACCCAAATATTTTGAGGCAACTTTTTCATCAATGTCAAACCTAGGGCTCAAAAAATATTTTTTGTATTTGTTGAATTTGAATGACATAAAAAACTCAGGCCATTACCATAGTTTAGTATCTTTTAAAAAGTCAAAACAGAAGTAGAAAACCACAGAGAATGAAAGATAAACTCATTAGTCTGATTAAAGGGCTGTGTTGTTGTTGTTGTTGTTATGTGTCCTTGAGTTGGAACCGACTCATAGTGACCCCTCCTTGGGTTTCTGAGGCAATATCACTATGGAAGTAGACAGCCCAAACTTCCTTCCGAGTAGTGGCTGGTGGGTTTGAACTGTCAGCTTTCTGGTTATCAGTCAAGTGCCTTAGGCACAATGCTACCAGAGCTCCCGATTAAAGGGCTAGAAAGTGGTATCTTTGTTAAGGATTGGGTTGTGTCCCCCAAAATATGTGTTTCAGTCTTAACCCCTATATCTGTAGATATGACCTTGTTTGGAAATGTGCATTTTTTTTTGTTGTTGTTGTTGTTATTTTTATGTTAGGACCCTGGGTGGTGCAAGCAATTAGGACCCTGGATGGTGCAAGCAAACAGGCTAAGCCTACCAGAGCAATTATGTTGAAAGGCAAATTGCTAAAGGTCGATGGTTTGAACACACCCAGAGGCTCCACAAAAGAAAAGGCTGGCAAACTGCTTCCATAAAGATTCAAAAACCAAAAAACCAAACTCACTGCCATGGAGTCGATTCAACTCATAGCGACTCCTCCTTCGATTTCCAACCTCGGAAGGAAGGTTGGGCAATCCTACTTCCGTAGTGATACTGCCTCGGAAACCCAAGGAAGGGTCGTTATGAGTCAGGGCCGACTCGACGGCAAATAACAACAACAACAACAATCTCTGCAGAAGTAGATTGCCCAATCTTCATTCCCAGGAGTGCCTGGTGGATTTGAACTGCCAGCTTTCTGGTTAGCAATCAATTATGCCTTAGGCACTACACCACCAGAGCTCCTTTACAAAATAAAAGTAGCCCCAAATTATGCATGTGTTGTGTCCAAGAGTTTATTTGTAAGTCAAAGTGAAATGTAGAAGGCATTTCTCCATTGAAACAACGTTAGAATGTAGGTTTAGTTACAAAGCCAGTTCATCTAATCTTTGCCTTAAGTGCAGCTAATAGACATTACAGAAAGGATAGTTAGTCAGGAACAAAAGAATTTCATTATGTAATTTAGTCTCTGATTCAGTACCAGCACTGAGGGTGGGAATTCCACCACCTCAAATGCAGTGTGACAGTCCCTCTGTTAGAGGCCACAGAAATGCAGAGGTGGGAAGAGGCACTGGGGATGGGGAACTGAGTCCACTGAAAATAACTATCTACCTCACAACTTCCACCTATCTTCCTTCAGTCCCCACATCAAGCTTCAGTTTTTTAGGTGTTTGCAGGAAGTTTCCAGCTGTCAACAACACAAAGCACACAGGAGTTAAGAACATCAAACAAGGGGTAAGAAGATTTCCTTTTCCCTTTTCTTTTAATTATGCTTTGGGTGAAAGTTTACAGAGCAAATTAGTTTTCCATTCAATAATTTATACACATTTTGTTTTATAACATTAGTTGTACTTCCCTCAATGTAACAGTACTGTTCCCACGTCCTCCTTGCGTTCCTTGTTTCCATTCATCCTTCCTTCCTGCCATCTGAGCTTTGTTTTGGGAAAAATGCTGCCCTTCTGGTCACCTATGGTTCATTATTCTAAGAAGTATGTCCTCATGAGTATTACTGTTCATTTTATAGCCTGTATGGTGTAAGGCTGATAGTATTCCCCAGGGTGGGTTCAGTTCTTGGTTTGAAAGATTTCTAAGGGCCACAGTCTCAAGGGTTACACCAGTCTCTATCAGACTAATAAGTCTGTTCTTTATTTATGATTTTTGAATTTTATTCTACATTTTTCTACCATTCATCCAGAACCTTCTGTGGTCCTCATCAGAGCAGTTGGTAATGGTAGCTGGCTACCATCTAGTTCTTCTGGTCTCTAGGTAGTAAAGTCTATGGTTTGTATAATCCACTGGTCCTCTGAATTAATAGTTTCCTTGAGTGTTTGATTTTCTTCACTCTCTTTTACTCTAGATGGGGAGAGACCATTACTTCCATTCTAGATGGTTGCTCACTACGTACTACAGTAGGAGGTAGAACATTGTATCTGTGAACTGTGTTATGCTAATTACCTAGATGTCCCCCAAGACTGTGGTCCTAAGGCCCCAAATCAAGTGACTCATTCCTTTAAGATGTTTGATTATGGCCAAGTTTTCATAATGTTGCTCCCTATTTACCATATACATAGATATATTTGCAGCACATGCAAATACACATGTAGATATAATGTCTGCCAAACCTACATATACTCATGGGTATAGTCCTGTTCACTTTCCCATACCTGTTCAGCTTACATGTCGGCTTACGTATCAACTCATAGATTACTGTTTGTTATTACTCCCATTGCAGGATTGTGTACGTAATAGTATTTACCTTTGTTGTCTGTGACTCTTGTGTACTTCTCAGTGTCTTCCTTGGCCTTACTCATATTGTGCTGACCTCCCCCTTATTGTATACTGTCTTTGCCTTCATGCAAGTTATTATGAATCTACTTCTAGTTAGTGGTTTTCTCTCCCCTCCTTTCCAATCCCTGGTAACCATCAAAGAACATTTATTTCTGTGTGTAAGCATTTTTTTGACTTTTTACAGTAGAGGACTCATACAATATTTGCGTTTCTGTAATTGACTTATTTCACTCAGCATAATGTCCTCCAGGTTCATCCATGTTATGAGGTGTTTTGCAGATTCATCATTATTCTTTAATGTTGTATAGTATTCCATTGTGTTATGTACCATAGGTTGTTTATCCATTCATCTGTTGATGGGCACTTAGGTTGTTTCTATCTACTTGTTCTTGTGAATAGTGTTCTGATGATCATGGGTATGCATATACTTACTCGTGTCATGGCTCTTATTTCTCTAGGATATATATCTAGTAGTGGGATTGCTAGATGATATGGTATTTCTATTTTTGAAGAAGACTTTTGATCTGCATAATTTATTTTTGGGAAAGCCTAGTCATCTAGTTTATCTTCTGATGTTTGTACATTTTTTCTTATGTTTGAAAGTCTATTCATGACATAAGTTAGGGCTCCTAAGTTTGTCCTTATTTATTTGTTTGATGATTATTAAAGTTTTAGGTTTTACATCTAGGCCTTTGATACATCTTTAGTTAGTTTTTATATATGGTGTGAGGTACAGATCTTGTTTCATTTTCCTGCAAATCGATATTCAGTTTTGCCAGCATGATTTGTTAAAGAGACTGTCTTCCTTATATAATGGACTTTGGCTCTTTGTCAAAGATCAGACATCCATAGATGGATGGATTTCCTTTTAGATTCTCAATTCCTTTCCATTAGTCTATGTTGTTGTATAAGTACCAGGCTGTTTTGACTACCCTGGCTGTATAGTAGGTTCTGAGACTGGGAAGTGTGAATCCTCCTCCTTTCTTCCTCTTTAGTAGTCCTTTGCTTATTCAAGGTCTCTTTCCTGAATATATAAAGTTGGTGTTTAGTTTTTCCATCTCTTTAAAGAATGATAGGGAATCTAGACTGGGATTTCATTATATGTATAGATTGTTTTGGGTAGAATTGACATTTTCACAATGTTAAGTCTTCCTGTCCATGAGCATGGTATGTTCTTACATTTATGTAGGTCTCTTTTGGTTTCTTACAGTAGTGTTTTGTACTTTTCTTTGTATAATGGTTAGATTTATTCCGAAGTATTTCATCTTTTTGATGTTGTCATTGTTGGGTGTTGTCGAGTTGTCTCCGACTCATAACATCCTCATGTATAGCAGAACAAAACACTTCCTGATCCTATGCCAGCCCCACAGTCTTTGCTACACCTGAGCCCATCATTGCAGCCACTATGTCAATCTATCTCATTGAGGGCCTTCCCCTTTTTTTTTGTGTCTCCACTTTGCCAAACATGATATCCTTCTCCAGGGAATGGTCCCTTCTTACAACATGACCGAAGTAAGTGAGACAAAGTTTGGCCATTCTTGCTTCCAAGGAGCATTCTGGCTGCCCTTCCAGGGCAGATTTGTTAGTTCTTTTAGCAGTCTATGGTATTTTCAGCATTTACCACCACCACAACTCAAAAGCATCAACTCTCCTTCAGCCTTCGTTTTTCATTGTCCAGCTCTAACATGTAAATGAGGAGATTCAAAATACCATGGTTTGTGTCAAGTGTACCTTAGTCTTCAAGGAGACATCTTTGCTCTTCAGCACTTGAAAGGGATCCTTTTCAGCAGATTTGCCCAATACTATACAACATCTGATATTTTGACTGCTGCTTCCATTGGTGTTGATTGTAAAATCAAGTAATATGAAGTCTTAGACAACTTCAATCTTATCTCCATTTATCATTATGTTACTTATTGGTCCCCTTAGAGGACTTTTATTTTCTTTATATTGAGGTGTAATCCATACTGCAGACTGTAGTCTTCAATCTTCATCAGTAAGTGTTTAAAGTCATCCTCACTTTCAGCGAGCAAAGTTGTGTTGTCTGCATAATGCAGGTTGTTCATAAGTCTTCCTCAAACCCTGATGCCACATTCTTCTTCATACAGTCCAGATTCTCAGATTATTTGTTCAGCATACAGATTGAATAAATATGGTGAAAGGATACAACCCTGACACACTCCCTTCTTGATTTTAAACCATGTAGTGTCTCCTTCTTCTCTATGAACGACAGCTTCCTGGTTTATGTACTAGTTCCTCATAAGTACAATTAAGTGTTCTCCAATTTCCTTTCTTCTCAATTTATCCATAATTTGTTATGATCCACACAATCGAATGCCTTTGCATAGTCAATAAAAC